CCGACGAGGCATTAGACGCGGGGAAATAAAATAAAACAAGTCATCGTTCAGGTGGAACACCGAAGACTACTTACTTGAAACGAGTATATATATAAGAACTATACTTATTCGCTCGTTACTCAATGCTTACGATAATTGTTGATTTTTCGCCGGCGATGTTTAATTCAAGAGCCTGCCAGCCTGAGACACGAGAGACGGTATTAAAAAAAAAAAGAGAGAGAGAGAGAGAGAGAAAAAAAGTGACGAGCATTCCTGGAAATATCGTAATGGACAATCACTTGAGAGGAGGGCAATTGGAAAATCGTGTTCGCGTATTAAACGATCGGTATAGGCAGCTTGGTGGGGCAGCAAGGGGGACTCGTCTCGTGTGGAGGGAGGGGGGAGGGAAGCAAGAAATTTTCGAGGGTGGCCGATCCCGCTAATATTCAAAGAATTAGACAGACGGTGGCAGGCTCTCGAGACACGGTTTACTGCACGGGGGCCCCCTCAAAGTGCTTTCGTTGCATTCTACGCCGCGCATAACTCTGACAATGGGGGTTTACGCGGGAGGGGGGAGGGGGTTACAGGCCACTCGAGTAGGAGGTTACAGACAGGGCAACATATAGGTCGGACTCGCCTTTGATTCCTGCGATAAAAATCAGACTTAGGCGTACACCTTTCACACATGCCCCTAATTTCTCCCCTCTTCTTCTCTTCTTTTTTTTTTTTGCCCTTCTTCTTTTCTTCTTTCAAATTGTTCAATCTGCTGTTTCCTTGCCTCCTTTGAATCGACCGTGAGTTACATGCAACTTGCGTTCCTAAGATCAAGCGAAATTAGTTTAAAATGCCATTGGTTTGCGATTAATCTGATAAATCTGATTAATGATACTTGATGTACTTTGTTGATATTCTGCGACTTCTTTTCATTCGTTGAGCAAAATTTGCCTTGTATTCGTATCTTTTGATTTTAACTGTAGAGTTCTCAATTGTCTTCTTCTTCACTTGGCGACTCGTCGCATGTCTTTGTTTTATTAATTTTCAAAAGTTGACAAAGAAGTCGCTTCTGGTGAAGAATTTGCAAGCCAATACAAGCAAATACAACTCGATGCAACGGCTCTCTTTGTAAAAAAACTAATGCCAGTGTGTCTTATAACTTTGTCCAAGTGAAAATTGCATTATTTCTTGTTTATGTTAAGAATTTGCTGAAACATTCGTCTGATTTATGGAAATGTTAAT